CTCTCCTTAGTAAATACGCTTTGCTAGTTATAGGATAATAATCCTGAATGCAGTGATGCCAGCACCTTCCCTTTGGCCATCTGGAGCAGTGTCCTTGCATGGCGATGCCTCATCAGCTCCCGTCCCCGTTTCCCTCCTGGCCTTTATCTTTTCTCCCCTGTTCTTGCCTCTGTAATAGGATGATGTGTGCTGCTCTCTTCCCTTCTTCTTTTCTTCCTCCCCAACAGTTCTTAGCTTCATATGTAGTGTTTCGCTCTTTTATATCTCCCTGTGTTAAAAATTACATATTTATTGGGATTTTTAAATAAAGGAAAGTGTAAGGAAACAGAAATGGCCTCTCACACTGATAATCAATTCCTACTGATGGTATGAGGAAATAATATATACACAGTTCAAAAGTCAAAAAGCTATGTAAGTTAGTAAAGTATCCTTTTCTTGCCCATTCACACTCCAAGTGCCGCTACCCAGTATTAATTACAGTTAACATTTTCTCGTGTCATTTTTCATAAATGTTTTAGATACATACAGCATATAAAAGTCGAAATGGACCTATGCATCTATTTTCTATTTATATAGAAGCGTCCCAAGAAAATGGCTCTGAACCTGTTTTCTATCTACCACTTAGTGTATCTTAGAGATCTCTCCATAAGGCTCCTGCTCAACCTTACAAAAGATCCACCTTATTCTTTGTATTTCATGGTGCTGATGGTCTCACTTACTGCACAAATTTTTTGTTGATGGGCATTAATATTTTTCCCTGAACTTTTAAAGTTTCAGTAATATAACTGTGAATATCTGTATACATACATATTTGAACACTTCTGCAAGGGATGTATATGTCTTACATTTTGGTGCTTATTGCTAAATTGACCTCCAAAAACTAGATTAGTTTACGCTAATTTAGATACTATACCAGAGGTTTTTTTTTTTTTTTTTTTTTTTTTTTTTTAAACTTTTTTTTTTTTTGTTTTTACAATAGAAACATTTTATCTCATTTTTTTTTTATTTCTTTGATTTTGAGTGAAGATAATGACCATTTTGAACTGACAGGCAACCTGTAGTTTATCTGCAAACTGCCTGTTCTTATCCCTTTGCCCTTTTTCTGTTTGGTTGTTTTTTCCTTATTGATTCATGTGAAGTCCTTACCCACTTTCTGGGACATTTCCTGAGTCTCAACCTAAAATAGTCACTGAGCCACTGAATCTCACATCAGTGTGTTTGAATCCTCTGTATGGGATTATGTTTGGATATTTTTCCCACTTGTTTATGGGTTGCGTTTCTGTAGAATATAAACTCTAAAGGAGCAAGGATCTCATCTATCTTGTTCACTACTGTAGCCTATCATGTAGATCCGAGCCTGCCTCATAAGAGATACTCAAATATTTAATGAATGAATAAAAGAAAATTGAATTAGCCTATGCATATCCTGAATGTTCATTAACAGTTCATTTTTAAATTTTATGGTGTTTTTTTTCCCAAATGAAACGTTTGAATTATCATGCAGCCAAATTTATCAATCTTTTTATAATTTCTGGATCTCCCTCCCTCCCAAGTTTATAAATAAATTCACTTGTGCTGCCTTTGAAAACTTCTATTCCCATCTTCTAGGCTCAAATCCTAGATTTCTGTAAAATTTACTTAATCAAATTAAGGAACTAGTTTTGATCTTTCTTGCAGTAGTCGGCTTGTCCATCATCATTCATGGAACTCTCTCCTGCGTTGGTTTAGCACAACAACTTTATGATAAACTACATTTCCATGTGTATCGTTTCTCTTCCTAGACTCAAGTTGTTTTAATTACTATAGTTTATTATGTGTTTTTTGCCTTCAACTTTTAAGTTCGGGAATACATGTGCAGAATGTGCAGGTTTGTTACATAGGTAAACATGTGCCATGGTGGTTTGCTGCACAGATCAACCCAATACCTAGGTATTAAATGCAGCATTCCATTAGCTCTCCCTCTCCCTACATCCTCCACTCCAGTAGGCCCCAGTGTGTGTTGCTCCCCATCCATGTGTTCTCATGTGGTATCTTTTAATGTGTGATGAAGCTGGTTCTTTCTCATTTTTTGTTTCCTTTTTCAGGATTTTTTTTATGGCTATGATTGCATTTTTTTCCTCAAACAAGTTTCATGATCATTTTGCCAAGTCTGAAAAAAGTATCTTAAAGTAACATGTCATAATATGCATATATATGTATTTCATCCTTTTTTTTTGTCTTTGTGTCATACTTCAGAACTAATGAGAGTTTAGTTTGTTCTGAGTTCATTGTCTTAATGAATAATGGACAATGGACCAGATACCAGAAGTTGCTCCTTGGAGAAATAAGGTTAATGAATGTGAAAATAATCAGCATCCTTGGCCAGAAGGATTTAGATTTGTGCTTAGGCTACATATATTCTGCTAAAACTTTTGAATGTGAATGGGTCCTATGGTTCTGGAAATGACTCCTTATACTTAAGTATGATGAACCACCAAGAAGGTATCCTTAATTCCAATCATTTATTTTGAATACATCCTGCAGAGGGTTATTAGATACAAGAAAATGTAAGCCCTGGTATTTATTTTGCTTCTAATAAGCTATTTAGCTCTTGACAAGTTACTAAAATTGTGTCTCTGATCCCATTTCCTCATCAGTAGGGTAAGGATGATATTGCTCATTCATTTATCACATAATACTTCATTTGCCTGCCTACCTTTGCAATTTTTGTGTGAATCAAATAATAAAATCCTGGTAAAACTTTTATTTGAAAATATTAAGGTTTTCTGGTTAAACATTGCACATCAAAAGCATTTCATTTGCTTATGTTTTATCACTCTCTTTTTTACAAAAAATTCCTATATGGTTTCTGGTATGTATCGTATATATCCCACTAACCATACATGATTTTTTTTTTTAAAGCCATAAGCCAGCAAGAACAAAAGAACAGACTAGTAGATTCCAGTAAAGATATAAGCCAAAATTTTAATTCTGGAACTAGATGGTCAATGGTAATTGATTTAGTGGAGGAAAGCCAGAATTGATTTGCAAGAAACAGTAAGACACACGTTGGTTAAGTTCAGGAATCAGAGGCACCTGGTACCTTTGAAGCCCAGGGTTGAAAACAGGAGGATTAATTAGAAACTTGAATTTGGAGCTATAGGATTTCTTGATCCCTCTCCCAACATACTGAATGTTAAAAAAGAAAAGTTGTAAGAGAATAAGGATGAGGGTGCACTATGAGAGGAAGTTGGGATAAAGGTGGAGATAGTAATAGAGACATCAATTTTTTTCCATTATAGGTAGTCAAAAGATGATGCTGTTTTAAAAAAATTAAGAAATGGCTATGCATACTATTAAGAAGATAATTGCAGATGAAACCACATGCAGGAACTGAAATGACTGTGGAGATGAGTGAGAGGACAGGGGCTTCCTTCACACTGGTATAAACCATAGTATTAACAAGGAATACTAATGCTTGGTAGACTATTAAAAAAACTATCCCGTTGTGCAAAAGTAAGACTTGAGGATAAAGATTGGCATCTAGGTGCATAATAAATGCTTGAGTGGACAAGTATTATTCATGGGTTTCAAAAACTCAAATATTATTCAATGATTTCCCCTTGTTGGTGTTATATAAGAATTAGGGTTAAGTAATGTGCTTTAGGGATTGATGAGCAATTTATTTGGAATCTCACAGTATAAGAAACAAGTCTTTTGATTTTGGGGGACTGTGGAATATTAGAGGATCTTTGAACAAGGTTAATAAAATGTCAACCTGAACTTTGAGTTTATTTTATAATTTTCATCAAGGAAGATTGGGAGTTAAAACAACAGTAGCAACCTTTTATTGGTATGTTTGATTAAGACATGATAGTATGTTCTCTACCAGAAAATCTCTCTGACTCAGGCACTGATATATGACTTGGGCCTAACGATTTTCCTCTCTTTGCATTTTTCTGTCTTTGAAATGAGATTAAAATTTATTATGCCTTAGGGAAGATTGTTGGGTATTAGAGAAATCCTGGGATTGGTTCTTTGGTATAATATTGGAAACATAGTAACTGGGTCTGGAAGTTAAGTTGCCTCTTCCAAGAAGATAAGCAGACTGTTAGAAGCTAAAGATTTAGTTATAATAATGTGATTATGTGAACCAAAGTATCTCCTCTAGAGATCCCAAAGTTCTGGTGGTATTAGAAGTAACTAATCAATAATAGGTGAGTGCTTATTATCCAGGAAGGAGAATGTTTAACAGAATTACACTAAAAGATTGAGTCCAATATTTATTTGTATGTTGCTATGATTTTATTAGGAAAGAAGTGCTAACCGGCCGGGCGCGGTGGCTCACGCCTGTAATCCCAGCACTTTGGGAGGCCGAGGCGGGTGGATCACGAGATCGAGACCATCCTGGTCAACATGGTGAAACCCCGTCTCTACTAAAACTACAAAAAATCAGCTGGGCATGGTGGCGCGTGCCTGTAATCCCAGCTACTCAGGAGGCTGAGGCAGGAGAATTGCCTGAACCCAGGAGGCGGAGGTTGCGGTGAGCCAAGATCGCGCCATTGCACTCCAGCCTGGGTAACGAGAGCGAAACTCCGTCTCAAAAAAAAAAAAAAAAAAAAAAAAAAAAGAAAGAAATGCTAGAGAAATACCAAGAAATAGTATTGTGTGATATTCCTGAAGGAGCTAATTTGATTTGTTTTTCTCTGTAAGACATAGATGAGTTTGCCTTACATTGCATTTTTCTCTGTTTGTGTTGTACCTGTTGGTCTAGTATCTTGACCATGTACATTGGCTTTTAATCTAACAATTTTACACTCACAGAGCTATTCTGATTGACTAAGCCACACTTATTTTGCTACGTACTTATATAAGAAAACAATTTCACATCCAAATAGCACTGAAGTAAAAGTTTCAAAAATGAAATGTACCCACTGAGGTTAAATATGTAATTGATTTGGGTGTCTTCTGTACAACCATGTTAATTGAAAACCATATTTTAAAACTTTTATTGTTCCTAGAGTGAATTACTGGAACTTAAGCGGCAGCAGCAAGAGGAAGAAAGAGCCAAAATCCACCAGACTGAACACAGGAGGTATAACTGGCTAATAAAATAAGCATCCTTGGTTAAATCAATTACCTCAAAGTTTGTACAGTTGTTTTAGGAAAACATTACAGTGACATTAATACGATTTTGGAGTGTGTATTACATTTAAATCTTTGTTATTGGGACATGATATATGTATGAGGTATGCCAGCTGCTACATATGTGTGTACATATGGGCATGCACACACATATCCAATTTTCTTGGATAGGAGGCATTACAAACTTACATTAGAAAACTGAATCATGTTCTTAAGCTGTGTGTTCATTTAAGGTATATTTAACTTGCCTTCCACGGGACAAACCATCCTAATTTGAGACAATGCTCTACCATTTATAGACTTTGTTAGAATAATTGCATTGATATAGATGGTCAGATTCCCATACTTGAGTACAAAAGCTCAGACAAAAACTCATTAAAGTTATTTAATATTGACAAATACATTAGAGAAAAAATCTTAGAACCATTAAGTAATTTTCAAACAGTCTAAGTACTCTCCATCTTAATTCTAATATCAGAATTAAGAATACCTAGTAAAATATCATGTTAACGTCGGGACAGTGCTAATAAGCACCATATTGTCTGCCATTATTATGCTAAGATTCCTAGGGGGGACACGGGTTGTTTGAGTTCATTAGGGGTGCACTTGAGTATCTTGGAGAAGAATGTAAGGGTTTTCACAATTTAAAGGAACATATTCTTTTGATAGCGAATGGCTTCTTTTATGTATTTAACCTTTCCACTACCACTAAAGTGTATCTTTAAGTTATGTTGGTTTAATTTTCTAAATGAGGGACTTTAAAAAGCATTCACTGGAAGCTCCCTATTCTGATGGTGCCTTTAACTGTGGGAAGGGGGACTGTTATTTAAGGAAACATCTTTTATTTAAGGAAACATCAAAATTATTTTATTTAAGAAAACATCGAAATTCTGATATGTTGGTTAGGCTGTATATTTTTTTCTCTTATTTAAGGAAACATCAAAATTCTGATATGTTGGTTAGGCTCTATTGTTGGATAAGATGGTGGTGGGAAAGGATGCTAACTATTTATTATAAAGTAGGCCATAATTTAGTCATTTTATTGATTTTTATTATTTTTTCTCTTTTTTTTTTTTTGAGACAGAGTCTTACTCTATTTCTCAGGTGGGAGGGTCGTGGTGTGATCTTGGCTCACCTTTGCCTCCCAGGTTCAAGTGATTCTCCTGCCTCAGCCTCTGAGTAGCTGGGATTATAGGCACATGCCACCATGCCTGGCTAATTTTTATATTTTTAGTAGAGATGGGGTTTCACCACGTTGGCCAGGCTGGTCTTGAACTCCCGACCTCAGGTGATCTGCCTGCCTTGGCATCTCAAAGTTCTGTGATTACAGGTACGAGCCACTGTGCCTTGCCTATTTTCTCTGTAAAATACTTTCTGTTTAAAAAACACTTGATATTGTATTTATACGCTGGTTGCTAACAGTAGCCAGTTATTTCTCTGGATTTCTGAGGATTACTTGAATTATAAGACTCTAATGTGTCACATTAATAGGCTCCATTGCTAAAATATTTATATTTGATGAGCACCTAATAAACACTCAAGCTATTTGATTAGAAGTGGAAAAATAACTTTTTTTGTTATAGGAAACTTGGCCCTCATTCTTTAAGTTTATTTCCATACTACTGAATACCTAAATATTTGGTGGGGCTTTTTAATTTCTATACGTTATTTTCTTTCTCTTGATTCTACTTAAATAGATCCAATAAATGTATAGATCCAAATTTAATTAAAGAAGAGATTTTATGATAATAAACTCAGTAAATAATTAGTTTTGATGTATCTGATCAAGTCATTAAATACATACATGTTATGTTCTTCATCAATTTTTGAAAAGAGCTTACATTTGTATTTCCTTTAAAGTGTGCCATGAGCTTTCTCATGTTATCATATGAGAATACATATTCAATGAACTCTTAATAAAATAGCATGTCCATTCTTATCCAAGGCAACAACACAAGCTATATAGTATGTGTGTACCAGATGTAAATTAGTAAATTAGGTTTTCTCCAGAGGCACAATTTTACTGGCATCAAAAGGGCAATGTGCTCTCTACAGTTTAAAGGTTCACATTGCAGAAAACTCAACTCCGAGTGTTATAATAGAAAGCTTTTCAAAGCTTTTCAATTCCTGACAAGCTTTTCAATGAACTTGTAATGAGCTTAAGTGCACCTGCACCTGACCCATTGTAACTATTTGAGTAGGAGAAGACGAGTAGAAACTCTAGAGAGAAAAGACAGAGCACAGGGGTCAAGGACTTGAAAGGATTTGGGCCATGAGGTGAAAACTGGGATGAAGTGAACTGATTTATTCAAACTTGAACCATCCCTGATTAATAGTTTTTATCCAAATTAACCCTCAGAAGAAAATTCAAAGCACAACTTTGACTGTGATAGCATGTATGTACTTTCTAAAATTATTAAACCAAAATAGAAATTGGTCCTTTTCCCTCCCATTTAGATTCTTGATAGGGATTGAGAGAAGCAAACCCATTATCTCTGGTTGACTCACACTGCAGTGGTCATAGGCAAGTTGAGGACACTCCTATGGTAACAAGGAGTGCTCAACCACTCTGATGTCCTCTTAGTAATTGATGCTCAAAAGTGAATCACATTACCTTATGCCTTCATAACAAGCCATCAGTCTTTGCAGGGTTTGAATGAATTGGGAGCAATTGCCAGTGAGCTGTTTTGCAGTCTGCAGTTATCATCCATGTTGTTTTCAGGGGTGAAGAATGTGTGCCAAGAAGATTTGTTCATTCATTAATTACGTTATCAGGATGCAGTCCATAAAGGGTTTGTTCTAGGCCCCAGGAATAGGGCTAATCAAGGCAGAAGGGGTCCCTGACCATGTGGAAACTGTAATCTAGAGGAGAGAAATGGAAGTCAACAATCAAAGGCGCTGTTATTTCAGATGGTGTTATATACTGTGAGGACCATATCACAAGGTGATATTAAAGAAGAAATTGGAGGTAATAAGTTACTTAGGAAGGCCTCACTGCAGAGGTGACATCAAAGGAAAAGGAAGAATCAGCTACATAGAGACTGGGGGCAGATGCATGGACTTAGATGGCCTATGAACAGGGGAGGAGCAAGTCCAGAGGCTCTAAAGTGCAAATGAGCTTGGACTTTTTGGGTCCCAAGTGATGGGATAATTTTTTTTTTTTTTTTGAGCCAGAGTCTCGATCTGTCACCCAGGCTGGAGTGCAGTGGTATCATCTCCACTAACTACAACCTCTGCCTCCCAGGTTCAAGTGATTCTCCTGCTTCAGCCTCCCAAGTGGCCAGGACTACAGATGCCCACCACCATGCCCAGCTAATTTTTATGTTTTTAGTAGAGATAGGGTTTTGCCAGGTTGGCCAGGCTGGTCTCCTGACCTCAAGAGATGCACCTGCCTTGGCCTCCCAAAGTGCTGGGATTACTGAAATTACAGGTATGAGCCACCACACCTCACCCCATGTGTTGGGATTATGGTGAGTGAAGAAGAGAATAATGCTCAGTGAGGGAGGAAATGTAGGCAGGAGCAAGACAACACAACATTTTATAAGCCAATGATTTTATTCTAAGACCAATGGGAAGTCACAGAATTTTAAGCAAAAGGAAGACATGATTTGTTTCATAATTTAGTAAGGTTGCTGTATGGGGACTAGATTACAGAAGGTGGAACTGAAAGCACTGGCAAGGTGAAGAGGAGATAGTAATTTGAACTAGAATGGTATCCATGGAAAGAAATGAGTGACGTCAGGATGTCTTCCGGAGGTAGAGCAAACAAAGCTTCTAGTGGTTTGGATGTGGGGTGGGATGGGTGGAGGATGCTGCGGGAAACCCCATCTTTGCTACTGACAAAAAGACTGGATAAGAACAGCCCCAGGCATGTAGGCAGTCCAGAATACCATTGGGGAGCAAGGTCACTTTCCTCTTGCTTAATGGTGGCATTGGAGATTCAAAATTGTTTTTTCTATCTCTTCAGTTATCTTTTGCATTGATATGTAGTTAAAACCAAGTACTATGAGGGCTCACCCGAGTTTTGGTTCTTATAAAGGTTTTTTTTTTCTGTGTTGATAGTTAAATTGGTGTCCTAATGGGGGGACATTTGGGAGTCTTCCGCTAAGTAGGATACTATTCCATCTGCATGCTGAAAGATTTAGAGAAGGTGACTTAAACATGGAGCTTGGCAGTGAACTGCCAAGTCTGACTGGCACATTCTATCTGAGTGACAGATGACAGAATTACGCAGACATAGATATTTGCCTGTGTGAGTGTAGCCAGGGGACCCCACGGCTCACAGATCCCTAAGAGGGTTTCTGGAGATGCTCCACATTTATTTAGTACAGATTAAATGACAAAGGCCTCTAGTAAACACCATTAGTGGGTAATTAACATTGCCAACGCCCTCCCCACCCCAGCAGAGAGTAGTTCTGCAAGCAGATAATCAAAGGTCGGTCTTAGGACAACATGAGTAAACAGGCTATTTAGATAAACTCTTTTACGTTCCTTTGTGCCTACTCCTTGCCTAATTGCCTCTGGGTAAGGACAGCTTCCTTTGGCTGATTCCTTCCTGAAGCTTTGCAAAACCTCTCAGCCTTCTTTGCATCTTTCCTACAATTTTTCCCGCCACCCTGAATGATCTGCTACATGAGCCCACACACGGCTGGCATCGTAGATAGCATTGAGCAAGTGCAGGCAGACAAAAACCCCCTCTAGCCTTTGACTTTGCCACCCAGCCTTTCTTTTCCTTAAAGTTCCCAAATCTCCCACAGTCACTGGCTTGTAGCCACTCACCATGACCATATTCTGCTAATCTTCATGACTGAACAAGAGGTTCGTGTGACTGGTTCCTGCCTTTCTTCCTTCCATAAATGTATATTTGCTGCTATACACAAGACATTGTGTTTTTGCTTCCAAGAAGCTTATAGTCCTATTTATGCACTTCCTAAATAGGAATATTGCCTTAATAGGGTATCTATTGCAGTGCCATTTCTTTAGCTTCCAAGTCCCCGACTCTACTCAGCCTCATGTAGGTAACTCAGCACGATGTTATCTGTGATTCATTATTTTAAATTTAAAAGTTGTAATATGAAACACACAGAAAGGTTTATGAAACAGATATTTAGAATGATTAATTATAAAGTGAACAACCAGGTAGCCAGCTCCAGAAATAGAATAATATAACTATCACCCTACTACCTTCCACTTCTGCTTTTCTCGTATGGGGTTTACTTTAGCAAGACTGACAGTGGAGTGCAAGGAATATGGGAAGGACATCTGTCTTGCAGCAATAATACCACAGAGTTATCTTTGGTTCTTCTTCATGTTTTGGTTCATGTTGAGGCTTCTGTCTTGCTGCATCCTCTGAGATTCATACCTGGCATGATTCTGAGGACTGTAGTTGCTTTCTTGAACTAGGGTCTTGCTGTACTGGTAGGAGATGAGTGCCTGAAACTCTCAGGTTAAGAATTTGTAGCCCCTTTGGCTTGAGCCAAGATTGGCAACAGATCCAGTAAAGAGCGGTTAACAGCATGTCATGTAGTTAGTGGAAAGAGAAGTTTCTGTAGATTTCTTCTAAGCTGAAGCCAGAAAGCTATCCCCATGGTCAGTTCATACAGCACATTAGGTTCTCAGAAATATCTCAGCCCTGCAGCAAGTTTTCTACTCACACACATTTTTCATTGTTTTAAAGGGTAAATAATGCTTTTCTGGACCGACTCCAAGGCAAAAGTCAACCAGGTGGCCTCGAGCAATCTGGAGGCTGTTGGAATATGAATAGCAGTAACAGCTGGGTGAGTTTTTCTTTTCTCTTAAAAAAATCATCTTTCAATGTTGAAGAATAAAAACATGAGAATTTTTAATATATGTGGTGGCCTTCTCCCCAGATATTATTTTTTTGTTGTTGTTGTGCTGTTCGGCAGTGTGATGGGCAGTCAGCCAGGGGGATTACTGTAAATTCTACAATAGCTTCTGTGAGAGGGAGAAAGTCCTGATTTCAGCTCTGGCCAATCGCAATAAAAAATGACACCTGCCCTTTGTTCTCAGCATGATTGCCTGGATGCTAAGGCTTTTTATCATCCCTTGCCCAGACCTACAAAAAAACAAATGAACATTTTTTTTCCCAGAAAGATTTTAAATGAAATATGGTTACAAAAATAATAAGCATTCTCTAGTTATGTATTCTTTCAGTCAAACTAACATATCAAAGAAACCAGTAGTTAATTTTTCACTACAAAATGATTTTTTAAAAACCCTATAGCAAAAGGCACTTTTAAAAAATGAAATGTCCTTACATATTTCTGCGATGAAAGCCTTGCAACTGTATTGTAATATGTGTTTAATATATTTTGTGTGCACAATATATTATTGAATGAGCACCAAAGCTTTGAAACATGTATAATTGTGAGGTTTGCAATGTGTAAGGATCAAAACTAAAGACATAGGTGTTACAGTTTAATTGAAGCCCAAGTACATAAGTACTTTCTCTCTCTCTCTTTCTCTCTTTCTCCCTCCCCCCCATCCCTCCCTCTCTTCTCTCTCTCTCTCTCTCCTCCTGTCTCTTTCCCTCCCTCTCCCTTTGTATACACACAGATCAGATAGAAATCTGTACACTGGTAAAAATTCAACAAAATAATCAAGTGCTTGCTGACCTAGAAAGTCTAGAGAAGACCTCTCTTTAATAAATAGCTGACAGATGAAAGATCATGTTTGAGATGTCAATCTGTTAGAAATCTTATAGCATGTATCTTTGAAAGACATCTAGTCATTTAAATTGATGAATGGATTTTTAAAATGTATATGTATTTAAGATAATTGAACATAAGCAAATTTGCAGAGAACACTTCCTGGATGTGTCTATTTATCCAAAATATATGCACATTTGTTACACTCTGGCATTCAGAATAGGGACAGTATAGAACAGAGAAAATAATTGAAACACAGGATCTTTGTATTGTGTGATACAATATATACATGCTGTCTTATTCATAGCAATATGTGAGTAGGAGTCATGTGGAAAATGAGCCATTGTGAGTTGAAGACATTATCCAAGTTTGCATAACTTAGTTGTGAAACACAATTGGAATTCAGATTTTGGTCAGGACTTGGAAACTCACTGTCCAGTTGTCATTTCTTCTCTGTGGAACTGCTCTTAAAACTTAGAAAGTACCTATCTGGGACTGAGGGGAAGATGATTATAGAGCATAAATGAAAACTGCATAGGCTTCTGCTGAGGACATGAGGATGTGGCAGTCTGGCTCACCCATGACTATTGGCAGTCCTTATTGAGCCACAAATCTCTGCTTAGACTCCTCAAAGATCAAATAGAGGAGTGTTGTTTTCTCCTAATAGTGAGGATGATTGAGTGAAATTTTTAGTAGGATGGGCATATCCAAGTCCAAAGGGTTATCAATCCTTTCCTTACTTAAAAGGAAGTAGCAAGAGAAACCTGGGAACTTCCTCAGGCTCCCACCTTCACCTTTATTGACCTCCAGAAATCTGTACTTCTGTGCTTGCTTTGCTTTATGATTCATCTTCCCCACCTCCTGGGGGACTTTGTTCTAATAATAGTCTCTCCTCTCTACTGAATTGCTGAATGTTCCATCTCAACTAGAACGCTTCCATCAGCATAAAATATAAATCAATATAAATTCTGTTGGTAGCATATTTCCCTCTTGCTACTGCCCTGTTTCTCTCTTCTCTTTTAGAGTAAAACATCAAAAGGTGCCAATCTCTAATTTCTTTTTTTTTTTTTTTTTCTTAAACCCACTCTAATCAGGTTTTAGAATCTACTCATCAAAAATAATGTTATCTTCATGGTCACTTAAAAATGTCCACATTGCAAAATCCAGTGATTATTTCTCAATCTTCATCTTCTGACTGATTGGCATTCTTTGTCATGGTGAATCACCCCCTCTTCTTTGAAACTGTTTCTTAACTTAGCTTCTGGGACACTGTACTGTCCTGGGTTTTCTCATATCTCAGTGATAACCCCTTTTCCTCCCTCTTTGCTGAATTCCTTGCATCTGCCTGTCATCTCAACAGTGGATTGCCTCAGAGATCTACCTTGGACCACTTCCTGAATTGATGTTCATTTATGCCTTGATGACCTCATTCATTCTTATGAAATTAGATACCATCTATATGTTCATGACTCCCAAATTTCTATTTCCAGCCCAGACTCCTTTCACCAAACTCCAGACTTGCATACTCAGTTGCCTACCCAACATCTCTACTTGGATATATAATAGACGTTTCAGCCTTAACATGTCTAAAACTAACCTTTGATCCCCTTTACCCCAGTGCTCTAACTGCACATTTTCCTGTTTCCATAATGGTGCACTCCTTCTCTCACACCCACACAGCTGGCCATCAGCAAATCCTCTGGACTCTTCCTTCCCAATATATCCAGTCCATCAGCTTCTCACCATCCTCACCACCATTATCCTGCTTCCAGCCTCTCTCAGTGCTCATCCAGATTCTTGCAGTCATCTCCTAGATGGTTTCCTTACTTCCACACTTACTTAACTGTAGTCTATTCTCAACATGAGAGTGACAGAAGTCAGACTCTGACACTGCATACCCCTCCAATGGCTTTCATCACTCCCCAAATCACTTGGAGTAAAAGCTGAAGTCCTTCCAGCAGCCTACCAGATGCTGCATGATCCAGACCCCTTCTTAGCCCTCTGGCTCTCCTGCTTGTCTCCATCTTCATTTTTCTCTATCCACACCAGCTTTCTTGCTGAGAGCACTGGCTGCTCTCTCTGCATTATTCTCCAAAATATCCATATGGTCTGTCCTCCTTCATTTATTTTCTTGAATTCCACGGTCTCAGTGAGGTTACTTTGGGCATCCTAGTTGAAGCTGCTGCCTGTGCCCTCACCCCGGCTTCTGCAGTCTCCTTTCTAGGCTCCCTTCCCTTTTTCTATAGCACTCTTCAACTTCTAACATACTTCTAAAACATTGTATGTTTTGTTGACCGTTTGCTCTTTGCCTTTCCATGTGGTGATGTATGTTCCACATTCTACAAGGGCGGGGCCCCTGGATCGTTGTGTTCACTGATGTATCCCAGGCATGAAACAACAACCGGAACTTACTGCACACACAAGGAAACAAGTGGTTGTGAGTCAACATCACAAACACACAGAGAGACTTAGAGCCAGATGATTTCATATGCTAAAATGATTAGATACCAAATTTAAAATCATGGTGTATAAAATATCTGATGAAATAAAAAGTGGATTTGAAATACAGTAATGTGCAAAAAGGAGACAATGAAAAACAACCAAGAAAACTTGAAAAGGAATTAAACTAAAATGCCAAAAGATTGACAATATGCTCTGTTGGCAAGACTGGGGGGAAACAGGTATGTGACACATTATTGGTGGACACGCAAAGTGATACAAACACTATCAACATCAGTGTCTTACTGTCTTCCCATTAAAGACCAGGCCTATATATATGAGAGCAAAACTCTACTAAACTTTCAAGGAACAGATTATTGCAAATGTTTAGAAAGTTTTTCTGATTAATTAAGAAGGAAGTATTATCCAAAATGATTAAGCAGGTAAACATGATTTTGAATTAAAATGGGACAAAGATTGTATAGAAAAAGAAAATAGACTCATTCTCATTCATAAATGTAGATTCAAAACAATTACAAGATTTTGACAGAATAAATATGAAAAAGCACTACATGTCCTGATGAGATAGGATTTATCCCAGAAATGCAAGCTTGGCTTATAACAAACAAAACAAATAAACCTATTGAGATAATTCACTTCATAAATTGTAACAGAAGCTTCATATGGTCATCTCAGTGAGTACAGAAAAAGCATTTGCTAAATTTCAATACTCATTTGTGGTAAAACAAACAAACAAACAAACAAACAAACAAAACTTCCAGCAAACTAGGAATAGAAGGGAAATTTCTTTGCCTCATAAAGGGATCAAAACTCTATAATAATAAAAATATATCAAAAACATTTCCTTTAAATAAGATATAAGGATTGAAAAGAGAAAAAAAAAGCCTTTGTAAATCACAGATGTTACAATTATTTACATAGAAAATCCAAAAGAATTTACATTCAAATTATTAGAAGAAGAAAAAAAAAGGCTTGACAATGTTGGTAGATATAAGATCAATATGTAAAAACTACATTTTTACACATTAGGAATAAATGAAAAATCTAATAAGATCCAACCAAAGATATGCATAACTCTTTTCAAAAAATTCTAAAATCTTGTAGAAAGATACTGTGAAGGCTGCATGCAATGGCTCACGCCTGTACTCCCAGCACTTTGGGAGGCTGAGGCGGCAGGATCACCTGAGGTCAGGAGTTTGAGACCAGCCTGGCCAACATGGTGAAACCCTGTCTCTACTAAAAAAAAACAAAAATCAGCTGGGCATGGTTGTGAGTGCCTGTAATCCCAGCTACTTGGGAGGCTGAGGCAGGAGAATCGCTTGAACCTGGGAGGCAGAGGGTTGCAGTGAGCCAAGATAGCATCACTGCGCTCCAGTCTGGGTGACAGAGCAAGACTCCATCTCAAAAAAAAAAAATGCTGTGAAATAAATACAGAGTTATACTTTGTTAATGGATAGGAATGAGCTCTCAAATAAACTATAGATTCACATAAATTGTAATCAAAGCAAAGAACCAAGAGTAACCAGTTCACTCCTAAAGATAAAGAAGTATATATGGAGACTTAATTATGTACTTAATGAGGTATGCAACTGGCACCAGCACACCCAACATTTCTGAATTTTTTACTTTTTTTGTATGACAGAAGGGGCAGAGCACATCACTGGGGGAAAACAGACTCTTCAACAAATGCTGTTGGGACGATTGAGAACTTACATGAAATTAGGTCCCAATACAATTCTAAAAATAAAATTCTAAGTGGATTAAAGCCTATAAACAGAAAGGAAGACTTTTTAAATTTTAGAAAAAGAGGCTGTTTATAAAATAGAGCTGAGAAAGGATTTTGTAAGACCCAAGGTATAAACCAAAAAAAAAAAAAANAAAAAAAAAAAAAAAAAAAGGTAACTAAATCTACATTAAATTTTAAAATGTCTGTTCATCAAAGAATATCATACAAAAGTAAGAAGAGAGGCCATAAATTAAACTTTTAAATGGTATTTCCTCTGATGGAGTAGGTGAGGCTCTTTGAGATGCTGTGGAAACTCTAAATCCTGTGTCTTCAAGGGCAGTTAAGCATTTCCTAAGACCAATGAGGCAACCTAAAATTTAAATTTCCCAAAGTGTTAGAAGAAACAGCAATAGTGTGTATTCCAGATGTAGCGTGGGCCAGCACTGTGGAAGTTTTATTTAGGACATAAATTTTATTTAGGACATGTATTGCAAATAACAAGTGGACAAGTTAATATATAGAATTAGCAACTAAATTATATTAATATATTAGAATTATTATTATATTAAATCAAGGACATGTCACTATTTAAAGACTGACAGATGAAGACTGAGCTTCTCCAAGGAATGAAAGAGGAAAGCAATGCCTCAGTTCACAGAGGCTTGGAGGAAATATTGGAGCAAGTAAAAAGCCACAGACAAAAAAAAAAAAGGAGAAAGGCAGAAAATATGATAAAAACAAGCCATGCGAAGAATCAGTGGTTTCTTGAAATGTCGTCTAGACACTTAAGCAGGAGGCCCCCAATAAGTATATATGTGAGGTTGATTGATTTTTACTTTTTAATCATTGCTAATTTAAACCAGTCTTCTCATATTGCTTAACATACACATTTATTCTTCAACAATTTATAATTGCTTTTGTATGTTAAAAAATACATTTTGATTTTTCCAGGGTCCTCTATTAGTTTTTTTGAGGCACCTAAGGTGAGGCACTTAAAAAATCACTTTAAATGATATTTCCTCGTAGGTGAAGCTCTTTGGGATGCTGTGGAAATTCTAAATCCTACATCTTCAAGGACAGTTAAGCATTTCCTATGACCAGTGAGGCAACCTGAGATTTAAATTTCCCCGAGTGTTAGAAGAAACAGCAGTAGTGTGCATTCCAGATGTATAATGGCCTAGCACTGCAAAAGGCTTGATAGAGGTTTCTTGACCCTTTGCACATGGTGGGAGTGGGGACTCATGAATCTATCTCTCTACCTCAAGATCCTCTTAGAAGTCACCTTTCTACTGCATAATACAGCGCAACCCTACTTGAGACTTTCCATTTAAATTGCTCTGTTCCTCATGTGTTCATACTGTCCTTGCTGTAGCTATGGAGGTGGGTGACAACATTTTCGAACTGTATTATTTGTGACCCATGTTAGTCTATCTCTAAGAACACAGTCAAAAAGACATCACTTGACAAGCCATTACATTACTGACCAAGAGTATTTTGTGAATCAAATGCAATGTGACTTGAAAACAAAATAGTTTCAATGGTCATTTAAGTTGTTAATTTAAAAAATGGTCATTGTAGTTTGATGCAGTAAAAGTGTTCTTTGCAGGAATTTCATTTTTGACTACAAAGGCTTTGAATTTTACTTTGCTGCTTGCGGTAATTTTTTTTGTTTCTTTTTCTTGCAGGATATATGAGAAAATATGGACTCTCATCTGGCTTTCGTCAGCTGACCTTGAAAAGCCTCATGAAATGCTTCTTAATGTGATTTTGTTCAGCCTCACTGTTTTTGCCTTGTTTCCAACTGTCTACCCACTTGACTGATCAGTCAGGAATGACTGGTTTCTCCCTGTCCTCATTTATGCATGTTTGCAGGAGCTGATTACTGAACTCATTTAATTTCTACTGCCAGTGAAATGCTACATTATTTTTTTAATTGGAAGTATAATTAGAGTAATGTTGGTAAGGTAAAAAATAAGGGGGTCACTTGACGCTCTCAGGTTCATAGAGTTGTGGGTGCTACAGGCTTGTCTCTCTAAGTGACAAAGTCTTATTGAATCCTCAGATCAGGTTTTGGAAAGCTTTGGGGGGTCTTTTTAGATTTTAATCCATACTTTCTTATCTGTGGTATAAATATGCACAAAAGAAAAAATTTGATGTCTTATATTCTTTTAAACAAATTATAAATAAATTTTGAACTACTTCTGTATAAATGGGTCATTTTTATTTTTAATGAAAATTATTGGATTTTCTCTCTTGAAGTGTCTCATTTTAATATCCCCTTTCCAGGTCATATCAATCAAATATAGTACTGTCATTACTATCGGCTCTTGTTTTGGTCTTGACTTACTAATAGTGTACCCTGATTTTCAGAAGGGGACATTTTATCTCCAGAAAGGCCAATGTTTGAGTGCAAATCAACTAGACACAAATATAGACATCACATGTGGTTTTTAGGTGTTTCAGAAACTAGTCTTGTCTTTGCTGTGTGTAAGCTATTTCTTATTGCTAATTCAGGTGGCTTTCTTACTCACTTCTGTGACCTCGAACCAGTTTACAGACCCTAAAGTGTAAGAGTATTGATTTTCTATGCTGTGTAATCTAGCTCAATCCCTCTGTCCCCTCTGCCTCACCATCCCCCAGCCACTACATTGTACAGTGAAAGCATTGCATTCAACCCTAGAATAAAGGTAAACACAACAAATCATCTTTGCAGCTGGACAACTAATAATACTTTGCGGCATTAAGAGATCTTCTGTGTTACCAATCATTGTTGAAATTAACTTTCCAAATCTCTTTATTGAGGAAGACATGGGGATTTGAGATTCTTGGGCCAAGATACATAACTAAGGGGTTCACCGAACTAGGCAAGGGTGCGCTAGGAAAGGGCCACATTGGTGGGTGGGGGGCGGGGTGATAGAACAGATGGTGCTCAGGCAGTTTCTCTGGAGTAAATAATGCAGGTATTCTTGGTTTCCCTCTCGTCTGCCAGCTGAAGCTCTGTTAGTGCTGTTGACAAATATAAGATGTTGGGTCCATTTGAAATCCTTGTCATTGCCTCATATGGGGAAACTAAATCTCCCAGTCTGATTGGAAACATCACCAAACTGATTGTAAATGTGTGGCTGTAGTAAGCATTTTACTGTGTTGGCATGCAGCCATGTTGGCCCTACACCTGCCAGCCTGGCTACCTTACGGTCATGTTCTGATTTTTGTGTCTATGCTTGGTGTCCTTCACTTGCTGCATTTTCCAGCATGCAACCAGGAGTTGCTGCAGGAACAGGGACACTTTCTTGCTTTGAAGCTCTCAGGAAAGTTGGTGTCAATTTTTCTTCCACTGCCTGGCCTACCTTGCACTCCCAAACAAAGATTTTGTGCAGATGCGTAGTTTCATTTTTTAAAGATTGTGCAGGTATGGAAAATTGTGATTTCATGACCAAAACTATCTGTAATATGTGTGGGGATGTAAACATCTTGCTTGATCAATTATCTATGTAGGCAGAGGTAACCAGGAGCTAAGCAGGAGTTGGTGCCTAAGGGAGCCTACCACGTTACTTCTCACATTTAATCTGCCACATTAAATCAGTTGGAATAAAACCTGATTCATAGGTAACTCTGGACAGGAAATCCCAAAGTTCCACCATTTCTATGCTGAATTTTAACGTCCCTCTCTTTTTTAGAAAATAAAAACAAGAAACAAATGGTTCCAAACCCAGGGGTTTGTTATAGAAACTTTAGGCCATACAGATTTGTAATAAAATATTAAAGCTTTAAACACCTTTGTATTTGGATTTACGACTTTTTCCTTTGTGGTTTCTTCTTGGTATTATGTTGATAGATCTTAAAATGTGCAAAGCCACAACCTCTACCCAGTGACCTATTTTAACAAAACAAAGAATTTCCCCTACTACTGGGCTTAGTTATATTAGAGTAGATAGGTAGACATGAGCAGGCCAGGAGAGGGCCCACCACCAAGAATGTCAGGTGACCATCAGGTGATGGTCAGCTAGTTGATTTTTTTATTCATTTGTTTGTTTTTTGAGACAGAGTCTCACTCTGTTTTTTCCCAGGCTGGAGTGCAGTGGCATGACCTTGGCTCACTGCAATCTCTGCTGCCCAGGTTCAGGAGATTCTCCTGCCTCAGCCTCCCAAGTAGCTGGGATTACAGGCATCCGCCACCACACCCAGCTTTTTTTTTATTTTTAGTAGAGACAGATTTTGCCATGTTGGCCAAGTTTGTCTCAAACTCCTGACCACAGATGATCCACCTGCCTCAGCCTCCCAAGGTGCTGGGATTACAGGCGTGAGCCACTGTGCCTGGCCAGTCAGTCAATTGTTAAACTGACTCTCTAAAATAATAATTGATTGCAGCCAGTGCCAGGGAAAGGCAGTCTCCCAATAGATAGAAACACCTGAAACTGGTGATCAGCAGCTTCCGATAAGATCTCAGGACTGGGGCGAGAGAGCTCAAGCATGTGCATTAAGAGGCAAAATGGCAGAATTTAACTGAGATATGACCTTCCAGGAACATTAGACTGGTAAGGGAAGAACGCCTCGATTAAGTATAAGTACAACTCCAGTAAACACACTGGGCTTTTGCCCCTCCCAAGTGCTAGCCGGCCACTGTGCATGCAGACAGCCCACCCCAAGGGAATCATCGAGAGAAGTAATGCAGACCCCAGAAGACTGCCAACATATAAAACCCCAAGTCAAAGGCCAAACCATGCACTCAATCTCTTAAGTTGCCCACTTGGCCTTCTTCTAAGTATACTTTACTTCCTTTCATTCCTGCTCTAAAACATTTAAATAAACTCTCACTTCTGCTCTAAAACTTGTTTCAGTCTCTCTGCTTTATGCCCCTTGGTTGAATTTCTTCTGAGGATGCAAGAATTGAGGTTGCAGCAGACCCATACGCATTCACTGCTGCTAACAGTTATAGACAATACAGGTCAGGAAATCTTATTCCATTCACAGGATAGGTCTCAGAACTCATATTTTTTGTATGTTTTTTTTTGTATGTTTTCACACTAGAGACATTTCCTGTGGACCCTAAATATTTTCAAAAGAAACACTGATTTTCTTTCTTTAGATTTTTAAAAAATTAAGATAAGAAGCCTACATATTTAATTTGGAGATTTGGTTGTCTTTCAGAAAGTATCTTTAGCAAATTTGCATTGTAGTTATGGTAAATGTTGACCTTTCAAAGTAAAACACTTGACATTTATAAATTGCAAGTTAAAATTCAAAGTTTTATTATAACTCTGGCTAAAAATTTCTAATTTTTAAAAACATGTAATCATAAAAACAGTGCCTACAAGCTTAATTTTAAATTTCTGGATATTAAGCAGATAGGTTGTAATTAGCTGGACTTGTTATGAGAGGACATGTTTGGAAGTGTGGCTGCCAGAGAATGTAGAATGAACTGTGTTAGAACTATTGGTAGGGGGAAGAAAATACAAGGTTGTGGGCTCTTTGTTTTTATTAATAACGCAGTGGACCAGCACATCTAGAAACTAGCTCCATGCTCATGTGCATGAAATAACATCGGAGTGTGGTATAATAAAATGTACATGTGGAGAAAGAATATGCTCTTCCAGTTACCATGAGGATTGCAGAGAGAATAAATATATGTTAGCCATTTCTTTTAAGGAAGGGGCTCTGTTATGGAATCCCTCCCTCCCTTTAAAAATATTCCCTTATTTAACAATAGAGTTTAAAAAGGATCACTGAGGATTATTTTATTTTTTCTGCTCGCAGAATTACATACTCAAAGTGAAGGTTTTTTTTTTTTTTTTTTTAAGGTATATAAAGGCAAATGGGAGAAGCATTTTTATGACATTTATTGCCATGTTGTTGTGCCATCTGCTGGGATGGAGGCTATAGTGAGACCTGTACTGCACCATGCACCTCCCCTAGGAAGCTGATTTATTACAACCCTTTGCTTTGCTGCTCAGCTGCAGGACATGTGCTCCGAGCATTCCTTCTCACCCTCCCTGGAGGACACTGACTACAGCTGAGCAGAATGAATCATCCGGTCAGTCTTCAGGGGGTGACATTTCATTCTCTACAAAATGTTACACCAGTGATCAGCACCAGATTATTAACTGATTAGAAATGTCTATGTTTTAGAAACCATAGTTGAGCAAAATGAGTAGAAATTGTGCTTTAGTAGGGAGAGAACAGAAACTAATGGACAGGGGATATTTGAAACTGGACATCATGAATCAAAAAAAATCAGAAATCAACATTTAAATAGACGTCTACAGTCTGTTTTAAATGTGGCACAATGGAGACACAAAGTTAATTGATACAGTTCCTGTCCTCAGGCAATGGAGCAGTTGGGATAGGCTAGGTTACGGTGAGCACAGTAAGCACACCCCACCTCTCCTTGGATTAGTAATGTTTGTTTCTTGCACATGCTGCATTTCATGTACAGGTCAGCAGAAACCTCTGCTCACCGTAGTCAGTCAAGAACTGAGAAAGTGTCTGTTCTTATGCTTTCTCTACAGCAAGAGGAGGAGATAGTGGCAATATTCTGTGCTAGGCAATTAAATGCTTTCTCCACGAAATGACACATGCTACTTCTGTTCACATGTCATTGGCCAGAACAAATCATACGGCTATTCCTAATTTTAAAGGTGTGGGAAAGAAAATGCTACAATTCTCTGCAATGACAAAGCAGGAAGAGAACAAGAGCATTTGTAAATAACCCTAATTACCCCTGCCCCCAAGGAACACACTATACAATTGAAGAAGCAAGACACAGACATATGAAAGCTGAAGATCAAAAACACAAATTCAAAATAGCAAAAACCCAGTTCAATTCAAACTCTAGTAAGGAACTAATATAGGCCAGGCACTGTGCTAGGCATGGAAACAATAGCATTGTTCAAACCAACCACTAAAGAGCTCTGATATTAGTTACACACACACAGACACACACACACAGAATATAGGAAAAATGAGAAACTCTGCAAAGCAATGAGGCAAGAAGCATAAGATGGACAGCTTATGGTGCCAGATCAAGTAGCTTGAACTTTAAAAGGTTATAAGCAGGGCATGAACCTGATTGGATTTAGCTTATTGTTGTAAATTAATCATGAGTGAACCCAAGAAAGATAGATTTGAGGGAAGAAAGCCCAGAAGCAGAGCCACCTGTTAGGAGGCTGGAGGTGATGACACCAGTTCAAGGTGACCTGTGATGAGAGTCCTGAGCTAGAGCCGTGAGAGTATGGATAAGGATGAGAGAATGCGCAGGTGGAATTCTCAGGATATTACAAACAGGACTTTGTAAAGGACTAGATATAGATAGAGACTGACGAATTGGAGATGAGTTTCACATTTTTGGCCTGTCTAAATACATTGATGGTAATGTGGTCATAAAGACAAAATGTGTGGTATTTCAGAAGAAGGGAGATTTGGTGTGATAAATAAAGAGTTTCAGAGACTATAGATTTAAATTCCATGAGCTTGGGGACATTGTTTTGTTCAATGCTGTATTCCCCGTTCCCTGAACAGTGCCTAGCACATAGCAGTAATTCAATGAGTATTTCGTAAATGATGGATTTGATGGAAGAGGAAAATTTTTAGAGATGGAAAGAAATAAGTATGATGGTGGTTGGTGAAGGATTGAGTGCAGGGACATTTAAAGCAAGTCGAGGTGGTGCAGTCATCGGGTGAGCATGTGTTTGGGGAGCATTGAGGAGGGGGAATGTGGAGGCTAGAGTAACTCCATCTTGTATGCTAATCTGCTATGTTGACTTCTGATTAACTCCAGTTCTGAAAATGCCTCTAAAATTTCTACTTTATCTACTGTTAAGACTGTGTAATTACCAATAAATCCTGCCCTTAGATCAAAACAACTTTGATGTTATCCTAAACACATACATCTTCCCCTCAGGCAAATTCACTATGATTTGTAAGCCCTGGGTCTGTGGGGTAACAGTATAGAGCAGGGATCCACCATTTGCAGCCGCTTGAGATATGGCTTCTGTCCATAAATCCCTATAAATTATTTCATTCTGAGAATCTGGATTTGCCAGCTTCTTTCTTCTGCTCCTTACCTTCCTTGGCTTTTGGGAGTAGGTTTGCATATGCCTGCTCACCTTGGAACACACACACACACACACACACACACACACACACACACACACACACGAGAGACAGAGAGAAGGGGACTAGTGTGGTTGCTGCTCAGAGGAGGAAGATAAGATGTAGGAGAGGAGAAACACCCTGGAAGAGAGCTTCTCTCAGTGTTTTGGAATTTGTCCCAGCTCATTGGCCAACCCCAGGTGTGATAATCAAGGATAGAAAGATTCTTGGGATAAGGATATCAGATTAAGCTAATCAGTTATGAATAACCCCAAGCCCTGCCAACAGCAGCTGCTGATGCAAACCAAAGGGCTGGCTTTGCCTCTTTACAGGCAAAAAGGGAGTTGGCAATGCCTGTCCTTTAATCCCTGCAGATAGTTAGCAATGCTGTGAGCTGTAGCATTTTGGAAAAGAAAGGGAAACCACTGGATTGCTGGGAGATACGAAAATGTAGCTCTGCAATTCACTAATGTTGAAACCTTGGACACATCTCGTATCTCCACATTACCTCATAGGATAGGTTGTAGACAAACTGATGGGATAAATGCTCTTAAAAGGTAAATGGGAATGCAAGGTAGGACGGTAGCAAAGGAAGTGTTAGATTAATATTAAATGAAAAGATGC